ATTGCATTGCGTGTGGACTAGGTCCCTAATCCGAAGGTTTTTGTCAGCTAGCTTCTACTTCGGACCTTGGAACCCAGTTCGAACATTGCAAACTGATTTGAATCTTCTGGATGTCTCAGTTGGTGACCTAAATTATGTTCTCGTTGGCACATAAACCCCCATAAACTAAGACACACCTACCGAGCTCCCGATGCTGCATTTTCAGAGACCGGATGCGTCGTCGGCTGCAGTGGATGAAACAGGGGCAGACTATGGGACACAGAGGCTGGGGATGACCTACAGAACTTTCACGCCAGCACATCTATTCAAGAGATATCCCTTTCTAGCCATTGGCCTCCCCTCATGATGGATAAAGGATTTCTTGAGGCATCAGTTGCAAGTTCTACGTGCACCGGGACTCTGACCAAAGCTGATGTTGAGAAGCAATCATTCCCCTTGGCAAGCACGGTCGGCGGTCCTGGATGTAGCAGGGACAAAGTGCCTTGGCAGTTTCCCGTCAAGCTGTATTAGTCAATAAGCGATTTTCATCAGGCAACCTGAAGAGAAATCATGGCCAGGGTTTTGCGTTGGTTCCTCAACGACGTGTGTGCTTGACGCCGGTGGTTGCGGACAACATGCCGCGTAGTAAATATCGAATCTGGAGACTATCAAGGGCACTTGGTTTGTATTCGGGCCTCGGAGACATGGGGGAGAACGGAGAGACGCTTGTCAACGGGTAAAAATACAGGGCGTCTTCAACTAAGAGGTCCACCATACAAGTTTTAAGTATAGAACGCACGACTGGAAGTGTGGCATTTCCCTTTTACCTGGCCTAGTTACATCGTGACAGCGCTGTTTCGTCTACAGCGCTCAGGCGGAGATGCTTGGATATATTTTGCCACTCTACTCTCGCTGCTCCGTACTATTGCAAGTCTTGTAAAACGCATTTAATTCCTTGGAGTACTTGGCCATGTTTCTCCCATTATATAGAACAATATAGAACATTTTATACTATATCCACACAGTTTCATATACATCTCACCACAGCATTGCTTGTACTATAATCCGCTGGCACAAATGAACTTGTACCCCGACCTGGAATAATTAGACATAGAAAGGGAAATTCAAACACGGGCCATGCGGGCAAACCAATCAAAAAGTTGCACTTTGTATGACTTGTCAACACTTCATAGCGGTATACTTTTCTACAACAACATGTCAATATCACATAATATTAGCTACAAATCGTGTCAGTTTCTCGAACTACCTCTCCCCGAGTATAATCTAATCCACAAACCACAACTGCCTCTCGGGCAGCTCCCTCAACCAAATAGCGTGCGAGAACAACTTGGGCACAAACACCCACACATAGTCGTCCAGATCATCACCCGTAGACTCCCTCATCGTCTGCCGAAACTCCTCATCCGCGTACCAAGCCTCCTCCACAACTTTCTTCATCCTTCTCCGGACCGCAAGCTCCGCCGCCTCCCATTCCTCCTGTCCCGGCGCGAAGGTCTTCTGTACTTGCAAAAACGCCTCCGTCACAGGGTCCTCGGCCAGGGAAATCGCCAGATCCTTAATCTTGGACAGCATCTTGCCCTCCCTCTCGTCTACCGCGGACAAGATAACGCCTCTTTCTCGAACAGCCTTTAGCACGACGTGCTTCTCCGCGGCTGTGTGTCCTGCGTCTTGCACTTCCTGCGCATGTAGCTCTTCGGCCTGGACCAGACAACTGGCCGTGGTGCCGTCAGCCAGAGTCATCTTCTTCTCCATGATGAGACAGCACTTGCCCGTGTGGATCGCCCTGCAGAGAGGATTGTCCTCGCGCTTGTCGTATTCGTGGCGCTGTTCGCGCGTCCACACGCGCATCTTCATAGTGCGGTACCTGTCGATGATGCGGAACCACCGCCCTGTCCGTTCATTCTGCGCAATAACCTTGTCTTCTCCTGGGTGGATGACTTCCGGCCAGGCGTGTAGTGGAAAATTCGGCAGAAGCGGAGTGGGCACGACTCTGTAGCCTGGCAGTCGTACCTTGAGCCCTATCGGTGTCGGGGTTCCAAGAACGACATTATCCGAGGCATTAGCTGGCTTCTCTGCGTGGAAGCGCATGAAACGCTCGTCCATGCTAAGGACGGGGTCGTGTATAGCGGACGCGAGGAGGGACTTTGGCGCCCATCGCCAGCCGTCTATGTCGAGCTGTTCGTCTAGGTAGAAGAGCAGTCGGCTTGATATGCCGCCGTTTGCTTCGGATAGCTTTTCCCACATGCGCTTCATGCGCTCACTGGCGCCTTTTCCGGCGGCAATGTACCTCGTGTCTAGTTTCATGAGGGTTGAGATGCACAGCGCTTCGTCGGCAGGGACGGAGACGGTGCGGAAGTTGAGGGTTCGTTGGAGAGTGGTGATTTTCGGCTGCTGCCATGGGAGGTTGAGGTTTTCGGGGCCCGTCTTGGGACTGAAGCCGAGTAGTTGATTGAACTGTTACCGTCAGTGTGCAAGCTCCTTGTGATGCCGGTTTCGCCAATATGAGCGCGTTTCACCTCGTTGAGCACGTCCTGATATATTCGCATGTATCGCGAATCTTGGCTGCCAAGCATCCACAAGTCCGTCAGCATGGTGATATTGTTCCCGGCCTTGTCTGCATACTGAATCTGGAGAGTCCTCGCAAGCGCGCCCTCTTACGAGTCACCTGGTCAGTCTACAAAATACTCAGTTCGTCAGCACGCATACCTTGCAGTGTCCATAGCCTCCTCATCCAGGGCGAACAGCCAAACGCCCGGACTAGCAACTCGGCAGGGCTGGTTCCCTCGTACTTGAATGCGGTCAGAGTCGTATCTAACACCAATACATGGTGCGCCTTTCTGTACACATCAGCGATGCGCTCGAGGCAGATCATTTTACTCTCTACTTCGACTGGGCAGCACAACGTGTCGAGCCAAAGCCGCGGAGGCTCCGTGCTGCCCGGAGCCTTGGGCAGATCGTCTATAAGCTGTCTAATCCGTGCGATCTGGCATTTTGGGAGTGAATTACTAGTCGGATTTCCGAGGCCATTCACCCAAACCTGCCTTTCCATTAGCACTACGTCGTCCTTGACAAGCCGTCAGGTCAACTTACATGCGACAATGCCACATACGCAATTCCGTCCTCAAACTCCTCAACCACAATCTTCAAATCGTCCAAGTCCCCTTCAACCCGTACTAGCGGAAAACCATCCGTATTCCTCAAGATGCCCGCCATCTTTGCGGGATCCGCCTCGATGAAGTCGCACCCACAACCATCGTGTACATGAGCGGGCTTATATGTGCTCATGTCAACGCGAAACGCGTCGCAAAAAGTCTTGCCACAGCCTGAATGGTCCAACCAAGGCGTCGGTTTCTTCAGCTGACTCGTGTAGTGCATCGTGTACAAGCCCTGCAGCTGCGACCGGATCTTTTCAATCTCGCTGGGGCACCAACCGTTTCTCAGCATCTTCTTCTCGACCACGCCCCCGGGACAAATGTAGTCTTTGTACCAGGAGATCCCCGAAACCTCACGCGGCAACACGACACTCGGCTGGGCCGACGAGGCGGCGGTGTAGATGCCCGTGGTGAAGAGCTCGCCCAGCGCGGCGATGGAGTAGCGAACGGCGAGGTCGATGTTCTCCTGGGTAGATTGCAGCATAACCATGGCGTAGTGCAGGCACTGGAGTATGTAAACGAGCCTCTCTAGCCGATTCTCTGCCATCTGCAGTCGTTCGAGGAAGAGCGGACCCCAGGTGAGGATCTCGGCGGCAGTGAGAACGGTTCGCCCATTCTCCTCGCGGGTCAGTTGCTTGTGCAGCCTTGAGATTTCCTCTTTGGCGGCAGATTCCTCGACCAGGCGTACACCGGGCACGATCTCGTTCAAGCCCAGCAGTTCGGCGAGCATCCCAAAGTACAGCCATGTCTGTATGAACGGCTGGAGCTCCTCCTTCGGGGTTGGGTACAGGTTCTCCAGGTACGGCTGGTCTGCCGCGGGCATGTCCGGAATCACCCGCAGCAGCGCTGGTATGATGCTCGTTTTGTGCTTTCTGTAGCCGTATGTGCGAAACATGCCCCCATCCCAGTGCTCGATGCAGAGATATGGCGTTTGCTCTTGGGTAGTCTGGATAGGGTCGTCTGGTTCCGCAAAGATGTCCATGACGGGTTCCTGCCGTTGTCGAACTCAACGTATAGCTAGGTTAGGATAGTTTCTGGAAGGATGAGAGTTTTGCTCTCACGATGGCTGATTGGCGAGACTGGAAATATTGGTTGCGGCTGAGCCGTTGGTGGAGAATAGGCTTCATAAGCTGTTGTGTCAGCCCGCAACCAGAATAGGGCTGAATAGAAAGAAATTTGTATAGTTCGACGCATGAGGCATGGATAAAGTAAACAGAGCTTCTCAAATGCACTCTATCAAATGCTCAATCTACTCCCCATGACGGCATCTCTTAAACTGGACACAAACGGCAGAGGAGCGAGAAATCGCGCAGCAGCACGTCTCTTAGTTCTTCCTCAAAATAGCAACCAACTAGTTCTCCTCTCCAGTAGAATAGCTTTCATACATCAAGTCCGCCCAGACCTGCGCAATGTCCGGCTCAGACTTGGACAAGGTAGCATTAAGGCTGCCGCCCAATATTCCCTCTTGCGACCTCAGCTACACCAACTCCAAGGTGTCGGCAAGGTGGGAATATCTTGGGCAATATATGTCAGAGTGAAGCTCACCCCCGTGAATGTGGATATAATGTATATTCAAACTCCAGGTACTTGAGACAGAGGGATTCATGCCATCTATGTTAAAGCGTGCCTAGTGAACCTTTCTAATGTCTGGTACCTGACATTGGTGACATGCGTTCGTTACAACGGGTCCGTGGCCATCAACCGAGACACCTGTATCTAAATACCCAACTTCCCAAAGTTTCCCGAAGCAGTTAGACCAGTTTCATTGACTTATGATACCGAACAGCGCCAGAAGTCGGAGGTACATGTTCCCCTGCTCAGCAGGATGACAGGCCAGATAAATCTCCCTTAGATGGCCTCTGGCTTAGGAACGGTAACAAAGGCCTCTCTGGCCTCCTTCTTGCCTTTACCAAAGATTGTATCGAGGATGCTGCCAGCGAGTCCAAGAGACGCGTCTGCAATTTCGCCTCCGTTACGTTTAGCAATTTTGTCGCCCAAAACACCGGCGCTCTCCCCAATCTCCTTGCCCGTGTTTCCGGCGTCGGGAGTCTCGGTAGCTGTATGTTGTTAGATGTTTTGTCATTGATTGTCGGCCAAAGTCGCTTGCTCACCAGGCTTGGCGCCAGTAGGCGACGACACTGCAAGGCTTGCCATGGCGGCAATGAGAGCCAAGTAAGCGACTTGCTTCATTTTATTCGATTTGGAAGGGTGTGGCTGGTGATTTCCTAGTAATTTTGGTAATGCGGCAACTGTCTTGACTTCTTTGTCTATTTTGTGACTTGAGGGGAGACGTGCTGATCTTATAGCAATTTCTCAGTTTCCTATATATAGCGAGCGTCTTGGGCAGCAGCATGACTCGCAGCGCATCAACGACTCGCACTGACGATTCAGCCCATTGAGGAGATACAGGGACAACGTCTTGACGGCCAGACTGCGACGCCAACGGGCCGAGATGGACTGGGCACACTCTTTCGGGCCACGTCGGGCGTTTTCAGGGATGAATGTGGTTCATCTGAGACTTAGACTGAACTTTGATAGTCACAGCCACCCTTTGGATTTTCCAGATGCAGAACGTTTTTTTAGAAAAAGAAAAAAACGCTAGCGTTGCCAATGTCGACACCCTCAGCTTCGAAACTCCAAGTGTCACAAACCCGTCCCAAGGTCACTCTTGCATGATGTCACCGAGCTTCACATGTCACAGAACTCGGTCAAGCCTGGGCGAAAATTGGCACTGCCTCTTTATCCAAGCCATTATGCCAAGGGTAGCTGATCGAGTCCGAATTGCCGCTTTGGGATGCCAGATTCGATGTCGAGAAGGGTAGCCCCTGGAGTCATGTGAAAGTGCTACATGTAGCGCGAGTAAAAGCAGGCATCTCGGAAACGGCTTTTTCTTCCACTTTACGGTTGCAGGTGTACGTAGATGGAATTTCTTTCCCGGGGGTACCGACTTTCCGAACTTGCGACTGCAGCCTTTAAATTGTGTAGATTCTACATGGTGGCGCCTAGTACCACGAATACACCTGCCAGGAGTCTTGGTCTCAAGGCAAATAAGAGAAGCCTGTAGATGGTGTTCAAAATGAGAGCTTGAGTCGCGGTTTTGGTATTTTATTGGCATGCTGTTGTCGGTCCAATTAGTTGAAGGAGTTGAAAAAAGAAAAAACAGGAGTCAAAGTTGCTTTCAGAGCACGATTAGCCTACGTCCTGAAGCTACAACTTCAGATCTGGGAAGGCAGATATTTACAAAGTGCCTAGTCTTTCCCCTGCCGTCAAATACTTTCTAGAAACTCGTGCTGGCCTTCGCTATCAGCACCTAGTCGAGATAAGCTTCCGTTCCCCACTAGGATGAGGATTTGGCCACGGATTGTCACCACATTTGCGGGACATGAAACACGGTTGACGTTTGCTTGCTCGACTTTAAAGATTACGGGATCGTAGACAAATAGCGGTGTATTTCCCTCTTCATGTGGCCTGTGCTTGGGCATTTGGCATTATCAGCTTCTACATGATACTTGTTGCTGTAGCAACTACCTTGAACAAAGACGAAACCAATGCGGTAAACGGGTGTCGGTGAGATCCCAGGCCGAGGTCGGGGGAAAGGTGCCCAACTGGGGAAGACGAGGGGGCGGGGACCGAGTGACATCGCGTCGGCGCCGGGGTAGTCTGTACGGGGTGTGCAGGCGCCATGGCTCCAGTACGCAGGTACTCGATACCCCGCCCCAGATACTCTAGATCTCCGTCTGCCAGGCACCGGTTTATCATCCGGCCGCGGCTGTTTACGCAGGCTGCTTGGAAGGCCGCGGACCAGACTATGCCAGTCGGAGGCCGTGCTGCTTGCCTGCCACTGCAGGATAACGGCCTGCCTGTTTGTCGGCACGCATCCGCAGCAATGGATCAAGCTCCCTGCGGCAGCCGGCTCTCGGTCTCCAACGTGTGTCGAGGTACCTGTACATGTCAGTGAGCCGCCAAGCCCAGCGCCCCAGGTCGATGTCACCTCGTACCACTTGACCCCACCGTCTTTGGACCGAACATGGAGCTTCGACATGGAAACCTCCCAAATCTTCAACATTCGCCACTCACTCTTCACGATACACGGCACTGCGGGCCAACCATGATCGAAACCCGTCGTTGAAACCACCGCAATACCTTCGCACGCTGGCCGCCATGTCCCTCACGCCCACCATGCCCAAGGACGACAGCAAGCCTCCCCTCGACGACGGCTACTACGACCTCGGCACCCATCATCGCCACATCACCACGAAACACCCCGTCGCCCAGACCTGGTTCAACCGCGGCCTCGTCTGGTGCTACGGTTTCAATCACGAAGAGGCAGCAAAGTGCTTTCAACGAGCCATTGACCATGACCCTTCCTGCGCCATTGCCTACTGGGGGCTCGCCTACTCCCTTGGCCCAAACTACAACAAGCCCTGGGAACTCTTTGCAAAGAACGAACTCACCACCACTGCACAGCGTACGCACCGCGCCGTGGAACAAGCCAAGACACACTCTGCCAATGCCACGCTCGCAGAAAGGGCCCTCATTGAAGCCCTCGTGTTTCGGTACCCGAGCACAGACGCTCCCGCCAAATCAGACTATTGTATCTGGAATCGGGACTACGCAGATGCCATGGCCTCGGTCGCCTCACAATTCCCCCAAGACCTCGACGTAGCCACTCTGTACGCCGATGCCATGATGAACCTCACCCCCTGGCAGCTGTGGGACATCAAAACCGGCGAACCGGCAAAAGACGCACGCACCCTGGAGATCAAGCGCGTCCTGGACAAGGCCCTCGCCCAGCAAGGCGGCGACCAGCACCCAGGCCTCCTCCACCTCTACATTCACCTCATGGAAATGTCCCAGACGCCCGAGGCCGGCATGCCAGCCGCAGACAAGCTGCGTGGCCTCGTCCCGGACGCAGGGCACCTCAACCACATGCCCTCCCACCTCGACATCCTGGTCGGCGACTACGCGCGCGCCGTCATTGCCAACACGGATGCCATTCTCGCCGACGAAAAGTTCCTGAAGCGCGAGGGCCCCATGAACTTCTACACCCTCTACCGCAGCCACGACTACCACTTCCGCATCTACGGCGCCATGTTCTCGGGCCAGTCCAGGGTAGCCTTTGAAACAGTGGACATGCTCGAGGCCAGCATCTCCGAAGAACTGCTCCGTGTGGAAAACCCCCCCATGGCGGACTGGCTCGAGGCCTTTCTCTCCATGCGTGTGCACGCGCTCATCCGGTTCGGAAAATGGCACGAGGTGCTCGCCTTGAAACTTCCCCAAGACGCGGAATTGTACTGCGTCACCACCGCCCTGCTGCACTACGCCAAGGGCGTGGCCTCGGCTGCGCTCAACCGCGTCGACGACGCCAACGCCCACCGGCGACTGTTCCGCGACTCCGTGCCCCACGTGAAACCCTCCAGAACACTGTTCAACAACAAGTGCGTCGATATACTCGACGTGGCCGAGGCCATGCTAAACGGGGAAATCGAATACCGCTCCGGGAATTACGATGCCGCATTCGCGCATCTGCGCGAGGGCATACTGCGATATGACTGGCTGCCGTTTGACGAGCCATGGGGCTGGATGCAGCCTGTTCGACATGCCTACGGCGCATTACTGCTCGAGCAGGGCCGTGCCGAGGAGGCGTGGGGTATTTACAGGGCCGATTTGGGCTTGGACGATACACTGCCCAGGGTGCACCGGCACCCGAACAATGTGTGGGCGCTGCATGGATATCACGAGTGTTGCGTGAAGCTGGGCCGGGTGGCCGAGGCCAGGGAGGTGGAGCCCGTGTTGAAGAGGGCGTTGGAGGTGGCTGATGTGCCCGTTCGGAGTTCGTGCTTTTGCAGGACGACCGTGACGGCGAGGATATGACAATGAGCCAGGCGGCATGGGTGCTGGGCGGTGCATTGCATGCCGGAGAATTCAATAGCATATATCAAAAAGACTTGGCTTCAGCCTTGCACTTGTCAACGCTGGGTAGATGGGCACATGCACTTTGGTAATGCGGTTTGGCGTGGGGAGAGTATATATGCGCTGCTGGAGTCGATTGTCAAGACTGGCAAGCTTGATCTCTTGGACGTCTGAAAACCAGCGTTCGGAGATGTAATCAACCCAAACTAGATAATAGGCTCGTAAACTCACAGCATTTCGGCGGCAGACTATTTAGTGTGATATAGGGCTGGGTCTTACACGAGGCCATAAGGAAAATTAAAGAATAATCGCGGCTATTAGAGAGAACTAATCACCCTGCTTCCATGGTCATGGGATGTTTATCCAACCCTAGTTTACCTTGTGTCCATAAACAAGGCAAACTCTGCGAGGAAACGACCCAGAGTGTGACACAAAGATAACATGGCCTTCTGGGGAAATTCCTCCGGGCATAATACGCACATCTACCTACCTACCCATCAGTCTCCTCGGCTAGGCCTCGGCTCGACTCGGGCGGCGTCATATCCATCCAACATGCCTTGGCGATGCCGCCAGCATCCACAAAACACCAGAGGCCGAGCCGAGAAACGAGGCGAGGATCTGGCACACCTGGAAGCGGCTGACGGACTGGAGGCCGGGCTCCTTGAGCAGAAAGCAGTACCGCATAATGCCCTGATACCAGCGGTGCTCACGGCGCAAGATGCCGAGAAGTGTCGGCGGGTTGGTCTCGGAGCTTTCCGTCTGGACGGGGAGCATGCGGTGCCTGCGGAAGGCGCCGATGCGGGTGATGGCGTTGTGGGTCCAGCAAAACTTCAATATTCCGACGTTGTGCACCGGCACGTTGTGGAGCATCCCAAATTGCAGGAGCCGGGTGAAGCTGCCGGCGGCCGGCATCCCGGCGAACTGGGTCTGCAGCCGGCCGATCCGGGGGTGTTTCTCCATGCTGGACATTGACCAGCACGTCTCCACCCATGGCGCCGTCCGAGTCGAGTGTCACGACGCCCGTGCTTGTCGACGTGGTCCTCGATGTTGTCGGCTTTCTAGCCCGTGTTCTGGCAACATTGAATGGGTGCAGAGCTGGTATTGCTCGTCTTGTGTAGACTTTTACTCTTCGTCAAGAGTGGCGTTCCGTCAAATGAAGATTCCACTGGGCATGCTCTTGCTTTACTATTGCCGAGTGAGTGAGCATCGGCAGTCCGGCCATTGATGAACAGATAAGCTATGGGTACAGGCCATTTCACATTCTCGGGGTATTCTCCACCATTTGGAGACCCGGTGCAGGCATTGCCGGCGGGTAGTGCCATGGCTTTTCAATTCTTGCGATGCCTTGGCATTTGTAATTACTCCAACCGTCCAACAACATAGCAGGTTTCCCCGCGCAATTCCACAGCCTGGAAAGAGAAACGCCAACATACGATGCCATATAGTACGTAGATAACCAGACCCAGGCCGGCTATAGTTTAGATTCCATTGAATTCACTCCAAGGCAACTACGCTGCCAGCTTCTCCTTCACGGCGGCAGTATCCTCCCCATAGACCCTCTCCTTCTCCTCAACAAGAAACGCCTCTTGTTCCCTCGCACTCTTCTCGAGGTCCAGAAACGCCCATATCCCCAGGGCGCTTAGTAGGCTTAGCGCAAATAAGAAATAAAACGGGGCGCTGTTATTCTGCCCGCCGGGCGTAGCATCGATGATAGCGCTGCTAATCAAAGGCCCAATAAAACTAGACGCCTTGCCAATGATATTAAAGACGGAAAAAAAGAGGAACTCGTGTCCCCGGGGCGTCACAGAACTAATCATGATCTGCGAGTAGCTGTACCAGGGGCACACGACGAGTCCGTAGTAGGCCTGGTACAGCCACACCTCCCAGACGTTTTTAAAGCCGAATCTGTCGGTCCAGTTGCCGACCATGCCCCAGCCGTCAAGGAGGATAATAAAGACCATGACGGCGTTGAACATGGTCTTGGCGCTAAGGTTAAACCTCTTCTGGATGAGCCAGAAGCCGCCGATGCCGAGAGCCTGGGCGCCAATACCGACTATAAGGAGGTACGTCAGCGTGAGGGTGTTGTAGCTGACGACCTGGTTCTGCAGCGTGGCAATAACGGTGACGGTGGTGTTGAGCGAGTCGCCCAACAGAAAGTAGCCAGCGAGGTACACCAGGCTCTGCTTGAGGCGCCAAATCTGCCCCAGGGCCTCGTACAGCTGCCACAGGCCAACGGTGACAATGTTCCTGCCGGGCGGGATCCTCATCCCGGGGCGCTTCTTCTCCAGCACGAACCAGGGAATAGACAGCGCGAGCCAGCACGCCGTGGCGAATGCGACGAGAACAGAGAGGCCCCAGTTATTATTGGACGGGCTGTCATCCACGCGCAGGCCAAACATGATGCCCACGATGACGGCAAGGATAGCAATCTCGCCGCACGACTGGATCCAAAACGCCACGTTGCTAAGTCTGCTGCGCTCCATCTCGTCCCGCCCGTCCAGCTCCCGCTGGGTGATTTCGCCCGCCTCGTACGCCGCGCGGGACGCCCTGAGGTGTGCCGTGTTCCGGGCCAGCGAGGGGAACGCCGCGGTCCAGTAGGTCAGGGTAAGCTGGTAGGCGACCAGGCCGACAATGTACAGGCCGGCGGCGACCTTCCACCTGGCGGCGTCGTGGACGCCAAGCCAGCCGAAGCCGATGCCGTACGCGATGACGGACCAGACGAGCAGGACCCAGCGGCGGCCGGTGCCAAAGTCGGCGTAGGCGCCGATGACGAGGAACAGCGCGGCCTGTATAGCAAACGACATGCCGTTGGCGAGAAGCACGATGCTGTTGACGTCGCGCGCGCGGCCGGCAAAGTACAGCAGCCCCGAGTCGCCGGCTGCCTGGTCAAGGAGGTTCTGGAAGGCCGTCGGGCCAAAGTTGAAGAGTGCGAGGCCGTTGGCCCCGATGTAGTAGAGGTACCATGAGCGGATCTCCCAGTTGCTCGTCGCGGGTGCGTCGCCCTCTTGCAGGGCAGGCGTCACGACCTCGCGTTGCTCGTTGGCGGGTGCTGGCGCGACGGACGCTGATTTCTCCTCGTCTATCACAAGGGACTGGCGGTTCACCTCCCGTGCCTCCTTGGTGTCGACTTCGGACGGCATGGCTCGCTTAGTCGGACGTATCTAAGCGGCCCGGTGGTGAGAGGAGGAAAAAGGGAGATTTCGTGCATGGCAGCACTTGGATTTCGGGTTTTCATCGAGTTTGCGGCTTCAATTGCGGGCTTACTGTGGATGATGCGGCCGCAAGAGGTTTAGACTGGTGGGATGGCCTGCGCAGTTTGAACGACGCAACGGGAATGGCGACTTGTGATGGGCTGCTTGGTTACCGGTGTCTCGAAACGGGCTGGGGGGCGCGAAATCTGGGTGCAACGTCGAGCATGGGTGGTCCCGTCGGTGGCTGTGCTATTATCGGGCAGTGATGTCATGCCCGCTCTTGATCGCATTCCAAGTTGGTGACATTGGACGTGTGGAATGGGTCAAGGGAATGATTGCGAGTGTTTGTCTGGCCGGAAAGGATTGACCAGATACTAGAAACCCCCAGGAACCATCATGTGACCGGATTGACATGAATTGATGCCAGCCGTCAACACCTGTTCACACTGGCAGCCTGCAGGCAACTTGGTGGATACTACTGGGGGTTATAGGGTTAGGGTTATTGGGACGCCAGGTTGCCACTCACCGAGCACCCAGCCCGGAGTCAAAGACACGACATGTCCAGTCTGCCAGACTGTTGCACGGAAACAGCCCAACAACTTAAAGCCCAATCTATCATAGGGACATCATCGACGGGGGACCTATTGGTTACACAGATTGAAGGTATGACCGGGCAGGAGCCTTAGGCACAGGCGTTCTTTTCATGTATACATGGTGGTCACTGATCCCTTTCTTCGTCTTGGAAGACCAAGGACCTTTGACACCCTCCGAAGTTATCTCTGAATTGAGTCTTTTGCTCCAAGCCTTCTATATCGAACCCTTGTCACAGCCGACGATAGCCCAACTTTTCAGCATTCACCATCTTCCGAGGCCGCTGTGACAAGGGTTCAACGTAGAAGGCTTGGAGCAAAAGGGCTCAATTTAATAATGATCTCGAAGGGTCTCTAAGGTCTTGAGTTTCTACGAGAAAAGAAGAGAAGGGTGACCGCCTTATATATATAAAAGGAATACCCAGGCCTAAAGCTCTTACCTGGGCACGTGTTTAAGCTGTGTAACTAATAAGTCCTGTATCGGCGAAGCCCCTTTGTTGGGCTTCACGATCTGTTGGGCCTTTTCCGTGTAACACCAGATGATGCCGTGCTTTCGCCCCTCGAAGCACTGGTGGACGTGGCGTGAGGCGAGGGTCAAATTGCCGAGGGCGCGCACAGAGTCCATCTCGAGTAGAATATTGCCGATGATCTCGGGCGCCAGGGCGCTCAAGTAACAAGGATCTTGTTTATCAGACATCGGCGCATGTTTTGCTGGCTCCTCTGGTGATGGGAAAGGTGACCGGAGCTTGATTTCGTCCCCCCTCTGCTTCAAACTCACCGAGGAGACAGCACGTGAGGCGCATCCTGACTTGGCCACACTGTTGGATGGCCGCATAAACCCCCCAAGGGTCAAATAGGCGCTTATTTTGACGTGGTGATTTGCGGAGCTACGGGTGCTGTTACACCAAAGTCACGTTGGGCACGGGTCGATCCTTGAACTCGACGATAGTTGCACAAGGGCTCGAGACCTAGTTGCTGGGCTGTGAAATTGGTAAATGGGAGTTGACACGAATATGAGCTGCCCCCGGCTAGCAGACTAGATTCAGCCCTTTATTTAAAGCTTCCTAGTTATAAAATTTTATCTAATATTAAACTTGAAGCTATAACCTGAAAAAGCTTATAATAATTCTTAATTAAATTACTAAGTTTATTATTATTTCCCTCTGAAGTTAAATAATATTACAGGCGAAGGTAAAGAAGACTCAGCAGGCTGGAGAGAGTTCTATACAGTGGTGGCACCATATTATTGGCCGTTTATATGCAAAAAGCATGTAGCGGCCCTGGAGCGAGAGGCGTACTATAATTGTCCTGGTGTATGGTTGGGGCAGGCTGCCAACAAAAAATGATGCTGTCTGGTTGACATGGCAAACTCGTTGGTCCTATTGTCAGGGGCAAGAATCGCTGGGTGCTTGGAGGTTATCCTGCGACCGAGACCAATCAACCCTGCCACCATCTCCGAAGAGTGTGAGAATGGTTTCATAAGTTCCTACACTCGGGATTAGAATGGTGCCATTTCTTCCATATAAAAACTAACCAAACAGAATAGCTGCTCCTGGCACGACTCTCCACAGATGAGCAGGCAACCCACTATATAAACCAATGAGGCCCTGTTCTTTTCGAACGAGCTCAAATGTTTGGATGGGTCCCGTATATCTACGCTTGCCACTCAGGGGCTGTTGTCTGAGGCGGGTTCGCACAACCTAGATAGTACCTTAGTCTGCAATAACTTGTGGGAAAGGAGAAGACGACGAGGGTATTTTACTTCGTGGGGATAGGCAATAGTTGCGGCAATGAGCTTGGACAAGCCAGCGGCGCCAAGGATTCCAAACCACTCTGAAGGGGAACTGCTGGAAGGAGATGCCATCTCTTTAGATATACCACAGGCCAGTTTCATTCGCTCATAAAGCATCCACTGCAAGACAAACTCGGATACACCCAAATAGCTCAACGTCAGCCCTCGGTATAAGCCAGGAACACCCTCGGAGCTGAGGATCTGTTTCGCACAGTCCCACGACCCTTTGTACACTCTTCCTAATCCCGTTGAACGCTCCCGATCAAGCTGGAGCCGCGTCTTGACAACCCATAGTGGATTCGTGCAGGTTTCTGTAGCGATGCCAGAAAGTGCTGCAGCACACATGTGGACGGTTGCCGACTCATGGCCGTGGTTGAAGATTTCGGCAAGGATACGTTTCGTGTTTCCATAGGCGTAGAAGCCGATTGCGGTCTCGGGTACAAAGCTCCATAAGTTGGGGGCAAGACCTCTAAACAGAGTTCTACATCCCTCACGCCTGTAAATGTTTCTGGATAGATGAGCAAGAGAGTGGTAATTTTGAAGTGTGGTGAAATACTCACTTCAGCAACTGAGTGGTCCCTAGACTTGGTGCTTCCGTAACTATTCTGCCTCGTCCGATGGGTTGATGATACAAGTCGCTTTGCAGTCTCGTTTTCACGACGTCGAGAGGGAAAGTAGCCGTTGTCGATACGACCGCGCCCGTCCTAGAGGTTTAAATATCAGATTCGTTCACGTGGCTCGGATTTTCCTCCCTTACCCGCCAGCAACAAAGTGCAGCCAATGCCTCGTGTCTAGAGACACGTCGGCTGGTTTGGCCTGCATTTGGAACGACTCTTCTACGAGAGCCTGTAGGCAAAGCCGGCGAGAATGACTAGACCAAACCAGTTGACGTTTAAATGACACCCTCCGCCTGCCGCGAGCTATGGCCTGCAGCTGCCTTTGGCTTGTGGCTAACTGGCCGCTGGTTGGCCGGGCATTGCACGCCTGGTTTGTTGGTAATTTCATACCAGGCCCTGCGCTCTGTCCGTCAAAATGATTTCCCTCAACTACACCAGTGCAAAGTGTGTGGTTCAAGCAGCAGTTTTACTCCTGTGCTCATGAGTGTCGAGTTAAACAAGGTCCAAATCTTGCGCAAAAGTATTTGTGCTGTCTCAGGTGCTGTGAATTGAATTGTTTAATTACACTATTGCATTTGTAGATTTTCTCATGCAGATATAGAGGCCTAGAACGAATAGTAATACCCAGTTGCTACTATTTGCTGTAACGTAAAGGGGGCCTTTATTGTGAAGATCGAGATTTGGGCCCAAGTTTAGTATAATCCATGAGCAGAGCTATGCACATAAGCAGCCCCTGACCCGAGTGTGCTTTCTACAACTTCCATGAAATACACGCCATTTTCACAGGCTAGTGCACATGTTCAATCCCCTGCCTTTTCTGTCTTAAAGCCGCACCGCATTTTATATCCCATATCATGAGTGGACCGCAGAAGCCGCCCAGAAGCCCAAACATGGTAAAACACCAACCAACCCCAATCCGATCAATGAGGGGCTGCAGGATGGCAAGGGAGATTGCTGCAAGTGCGCACCGAACAAGATTGGCGGATGCAGACGCGGTAGATGCTTTGTTCGTGTTCAAATCCGTCAGAAGCGTGCCAAGCGCCTAAGGGATGTTTTAGTAACTGCAATTTATACTTTGATCCGTGGATGCAAGATTGAACATGCCACAAAGAGACCGGTGACCGAAAAGCCAACAATGGCTTGGAAAACGAGGGGAACGGAAACATGCTATTGCGCAGTCAGTACATGAGACACGTGCTGTGCTAACTCCCCAGGACCGTCTTACAACTCGATAATGGATAGACCATCCATAAGCAATTGTCCCTATTGTGCTGAGAACCGCAAGATATAACGCACTGCTCAGTCTAGCCGCCTCAATGGGAAAGCCGGCGTTGCGGCGGACCTCACCCTGGGGCATGCCATGCTTTTTGGCAAGCCGAGCGAATTCAGAATCCAGAACCTTGCCTATAATGCATTTAGTATAAAACTGCGGAATGGGTGGGACATTGACCGACCCCATATGAAGGTGCCGGCGAGGCAGGCAATACCAAACGGTATGTAAATGAGACCTGCCCCCAGGCTTTCATAGTTGTATATTTCAATGAACAGCGTCGAAAGAGACGCCTGGATGCTGCAATATATCGTGTAGTAAATTCCATTACATGATAGAACCACAGCCACATCCTTCAAAAGAAGAAGTTTGAGGCAGTCTAGTGGATTGGGTAAAGTGAACTTGGGTCCATGTTCTAGGGACGGGGCGAGATTCGTGCTCTCATGAATACTTTGACTTTCACCACTCTTGCCCCTTTTATTCCTTGCAATTACGGACAAGAGGGTGAGGTAGATGCCGCTAGGCGCTATGCTCCCGTTGCCAACAATCACACGAGAGGTTTCTGGGAGTGCTAGCAAAATTAAACCCAAGCAAGAACCCCCCAGGATACAGAGCATCCAGAATATCCATTTCCATCCAAGCTTTGCTGTGAGAATACCCCCCAAAACGGGACCAACAGGAGGAGCGACGTTGGGCCTTGCTTTTCGATTAGCTCCGGGGATGATCTCGCGCTGCATCAGCAAGCTACCCACCCTATAAGGAAGATGCTGACATAGGAACCCCTTTCAGCGCGAGTAGTGATGTCGGAGAGGACCTCGTACCCAAGAGATATAGTGCCTGTGGTGCGCGGGTGCTTCAGCGCAGCACTCGGCGTTTTGACATGACAAAAGGGGATGTATGAAACAAGGTAACAAACCGGAACTGCCAGCGCTCTGAAGCATGCGCAGGAGTAAGAGGCCGACATATGTATCTTGCAACGCCAGGCCGAGGTTGGCTACCAAGTACACGGACAGGGCGAGTGCGTATATCGGCCGCCTTCCGAAGGAGTCGGCGGCGCTCCCCATCAAGGTGGGAACAATGCCCGAGACAATCATGTAGGTAGTTACGGCTAAATTGACAAGGCCAACAGTAACATGGAGGTCTTTGGAGATGGCGTCGATGGCGGGGTAGAAGACGAAGCTACTCATGGGGGAGAACATGCCGGCCAGGGCGACGAGGAAGACGATCCATGCCTTTTGCCTGCTGCTGAATGTCGAGTAAGCGGATTCAGGGGCTGCCGTGGGTTTTAAACCAATAGATTCAGCGTCAGGGGTATTTGGCCCTTTCGATTCCATGTTCCGAGATGGACAAGAGCCCAAAATGTTGTGGGCTTCTTGACGGCTGTGGTTGAGCGGGGGTCGATTATAACTTCAAAAGTCGCACAAAAAATGGCGTAGAGAGAAACCACTTTTCGCCTAATAACTTGAATGTGTGCTATTTGGGGTCAGGTTCCTCTTATGTGGGTCCCAAAGGTAATGTCCATGCCCAACTTGTTGATTGTCAACGTCAATGACCGCCGGTAGGACCAACTCGCGGTAGGGCCAGCAAAACGCTGCCACCAGACATCTCAAAATCGCACACACATGGAGCAAAGTGAATAAACTACTGCATGTTCAACTTGCAATACTATGGATGGATATACATACCAAGGCAAAATGGCCGCGCTTAACTGTAAACCACCGCATTCAATATGAATTCATCCAATAGCAGTAGCCACCAACAGCCTTGGACGCATCAAGTAGTATTTTCTAGTTCTCGGGGTAGGGTTAGGGTTACAGCCCCATTATACTGTTATAGCTCAAATTGGCGTATCTGACTCGCGGGAGTCTGTTCATCACTTTCACTAATAGATTGATCATTTTGAAGCTAGAATACTCACGCCTTGTGGTCTCCGAATTTGCGAGGCAGCAACCTTCCTTTTGCCGATCTTAGCTAATCTCCGGAGCCAACGTAGTAAGCTGCTCTGTACGAGGGCGGCCCAACATCATACATGATGCGGGGAACTGATCCTATCCCTCACTGTCACTACTCGTCCACAACCTGCCTTCTTCCTCTCACGATTTTAAGATATTGGGATATTATTAAACTTGGTGTTTGTCTTATACCATGCAACTTCAGGGTCACGATGTGCTGCTGCGGCAAGTTGCTTCATTGACAGGGTCTATGCCTGGGGATGTGCCAATTGATGAGTCCGTGCGCAATGGTATGAGAGTGAACAATCAAGAGTACACAGAAGCTCCTGATCCTAACCACAAACCACCTCTCAAGCCTTACCTGAGGGTACAACAGCTATGAGCGCCTACCGCTTCGGGCAGTCTGCATGGTCACTGACGGCCAAGATCAACGCGGTTGATAAGCACGGAGACCCGACCGCATTTTTCCTCAAGGTTAGATATGCCCTTTTCCATTCTTCCCCATGGAGCCTTTGGTGTTCCGTGTCTGATGTATTGCTGCGGCGCCGTAGTACGTCCCAGGCGACCTGGGCCAGATGCAGTTGGAGGGAGAGTTTGTGGGCATGACGGAGCTTCACAAAGCCGCCCCGACCTTTGTTCCTCGGCCGATTGGATGGGGGAAACTAAAGAGCGTGGTTCCATCGAGTCACTTCTTGCTGGTCGAGTTCAAAGACTTTACTCCTGTTCTGCCGGACCCCGTCAAGCTGGGTGAGCGTGTGGCGGCACTGCACAAGAACAGTTCCTCTCCAACGGGCCAGTTCGGGTTTCCGATCCAGACCTTCGACGGGGCGCGCCCGCAGGCAGTCGGCTTGGACCCGAGCTGGACATCCTTCTTCTCCAAGCTTCTTGCCGAAGCTTACCGCCAGGACATGGAGACCAACGGGCTGTGGCCGGAACTGGACGCCGTGTACCTCAAAGTCCAGTCCCAACTTATTCCAAGACTTATTGGGGCACTCGAGGCCGATGGACGCGTGGTCAAGCCGGTGCTCATTCACGGCGATATGTGGGACGGAAACATAGGGACTGAGTCTAGCACGGGCGATCCTTGGATCTTTGACTGCGCTGCGTATTACGGCCATAACGAAATGGATCTAGGCATCTGGCGAGCAGAAAGGCACCAGTTGCGCTCAAAGGTCTACCGGCGAGAGTACCTCCGAAACATGGAGCCTAGTGAGCCCGAGGAAGAATGGGACGACAGAAATCGCCTGTACAGCGCCAAAACGAACTTCATGCACTCGGCATGTTTTGCAGGGTCACCTGCCCGACAGCAGTATGTATATTGCCCTACTTTATCTCTATAAACCGTGTTTGCCAACGTGCTTAGGACTTTCGATGATTTTGTTTTTCTGCTTCGGAAGTACTTCCCCGACATGTCTGATACTACGGAAAGGAATAACATTAAGCAAGGCGAATAGGAGGGGTTGATG